AGGGGGAAAGCCAGTAACAAGATGTGTAACCTAAGGCTTTTAAGATGATCAGTGTTTGTATCAAAAAGAAAACTGAATATGAATGATAAATATTATTGGAATTCAGTTAACAAGACTTGTCAGAACATCATAATAAATTATATACCACTTAAAGGGATTAACTAAAAGTGACTTTAAACTGTGAGTTAGAAAACTGTGCCTTAGAAAAATGGAGGAATTAAAGTTTCATGGGAAAATGATCTCCTTTTCCAAGTGTTTAGCTTCATATTAGGGTAGATGGCTTTCAGAATATTTTGGAGTCATTTACACGAAGGTAGTTATTTAAAATCAAGTGAACAACAGCAGCAGCAAATGCATGTGAGTTTAAGCCCAGACTTAAACTTTCTGATGGCTGTAATTGATGAGGAAGAAGGGGAAGAGGAATCAGCAATCTAGACTAGGACTTCACCGGGCTTTGAGATGGACAGAGGGAGTCGTAGAGGCCAAGGGTAAAAAGATTAAAGTGGTGCATGGAGTGGTCAGCATTACCTCCTATTGGAGAGAGAATTTTTTTTATGATGACATCTGAGATGAGACCACTTGACAGGGGGAAAGTCATTGCTCTTAGAACATAGTTTCTAGGCAATGATTAAAATAAAAGTTTTGTCAAAAAGGACAAATAAGAAGTAGATGGAAAAGAGAAAAATGTCTGTGAAATTAGGCTACAGTCATAAAGGGTTGGTTGTGAAGGAAGAAGAGTTTGGAAAAGGAAATGGGGCTTAATGAAAAATGTAGGTTAAAAGAGACTTGTATATGTTTCAAAGTAAAAGTAAAAAACCATCCTTCTAGAACCTTTTAAATAAGAAATTAAGTCTTTATTATACCAGTAGTAGGTCTAGTTCCACATAGAGAAAGATATGGTTCTGTACGTGGGCTTTAGGAGAGTAAGTCTGTTGTACATCATATCTAAGTATTAGCTCACTTACAGGAAAACCCTAAATCCTTCTTTATGGTGAGTGGCCTAAAGGCCCCCCACGATCCGCATTCCAGTTATAGGTCTTATCTATTTTCTGCTGCTGTTTTTCTTACTCTCTTTGGTATAGCCACAGAAGTAGGTCTCCAGGTCCCCTTGTTCCTTAACCATGCCAGGGCTGTTTCCTATCTTAGGGCCTTTGCAATGGCTGTTCCCTCTGTTTTGAACATTTTACCCTTAGATATCTTCATGGCTAGTCCCTCACCTCATTCAGGTCTCAACTTAAATGTTGCCTTTGTAGTGAGGCCTTCTCTAATCTTCCTATTTAAAACTGAAATACCTCTCTTTACCCACCGCACACTCCTATCCTCAACTCTGTCCTTTCCTGTTTTATTTTTCTTCATAGCACTTAATTCCATCTAACATATATCTTTTACTTATTAATTTTATTTTTGTCTTCCCCTACTAGAGTTTAAACTCCATGAGTGCGAGGGTTTTCCTAGTACTAGAAAAATGCCTGGCACATAGTGGGCACTTACCATTTGTTGCATTAATAAATGAATATTAGGAGTTTAATATTCTTTATGGAAACTCATGATTATTATTAATAAGCACATTGGATGTTATTTATAGAATTAGGCTTAATATATTCTCTACTCAAAGGTTGGCAAACTTTTTCTGTAAAGTGCCGGAAAGTAAATATTTTTGTAGGCCATGTGGTTTCATTGCAACTACTCAGCTCTGTTGTTGTAGTACAATATAAGCCATAGACAATCTGTAAATGAATGAGCATAACTGTGTTCCAATAAGACTATTTATGGACACTGAAATTTGAATTGTATGTAATTTTTAAATGCCACAAAATATTATCCTTTTTTTGATTTTTTTCCAGTCATTTAAAAATTTAACAACCATTCTTAGTTCACAGACCATACAAAAACAGGCAGTGGGCCAAATTAGATCCACAAGCTATTCTTGGCCAATCTCAGCTTTTATTGGTTTCTTAAACATATCTTACTTGAAACTTATTTTTTCATGCTTGGTAGGGAGCAACAATGTGGATGAAACTATAGAAACAGATAATTCAGAAATAATTCTGTTTAGCTTCAGAAAATTTCATGTTGTTTCATTTTTGTTTTCCTGGGAACCTTATGTTTTCATTTAAATGCATTTGCATTCTCTTAGCAGATGCCACATGATAGTGTTAGGGGTGTGGGGTAATAGTCCAGGAGCAAAGCTGGTCAAAGCCCACCCAGGTTTAAAAGCTTGCCATTATTTACAAGGTGAATATTCCCATGTGGGAGAGTCAAGAGTCATCAACCAGGCCTAATGCCCAAAAGACTGTCACTGTGAATGAGAATTGTGTTACAGTTTTTAACATCATTTGTAACACATTTCTTGAATAAGCTGCAAATGCTTTTAATAATATATCTCAGGATTAATTTTAGCTATGCCACACTGGCACTTTTTACTCCTCTACATTAAGAAAAAGCCCACAAACTATTCTCTTATCAAATCAGGCTGGGGGCCGGGTGTGGTGGTTCACGCCTGTAATCCTAGAACTCTGGGAGGCCCAGGCAGGTGGATCGTTTGAACTAAGGAGTTCGAGACCAGCCTGAGCAAGAGCGAGACCCCATCTCTACTAAAAATAGAAAGAAATTAGCTGGACAACTAAAAAAATATATACAAAAAAGTGGCCGGACATGGTGGTGCATGCCTGTACTCCCAGCTACTTGGGAGGCTGAGGCAGGAGGATTGCTTGAGCCCAGGAGTTTGAGGTTGCTGTGAGCTAGGCTGACGCCATGGCACTCTAGCCCAGGCAACACAGTGAGACTCTGTCTCAAAAAAAAAAAAAAAAAATCAGGCTGGGATTTTGATAAGGCATCAGATTTTCCTCAATAAGCACAAAGGAGAGAAAAAAAATGTTTTTCACTTGCAAAACTTTTTAATATTTATGAAGTTTTTCACATATTTGATTTTGTTCAATTCTCACAGCAATCCCATGATTGTAGGTAGCCCTCTTAACTGTTTAAAATGAGAGAGAATGGATAGTCAGTGAGGATATATAACTTGTCCAAGGTCACAGCACCAGCTGACCTTCTGAGGTACAAACCCCTCACTGTTACCTTCAGCCAGTCATTAGTTTCAGTGCTGCGAATGCTTCATTGCTTCTTGGTCTCTGGTTTCACCTACTCATGAAGATGCTCAGAGCCCCAGTACTCCTAGCTCTGCCACATTTACCTTATACAGCTCTGGGAAGGGGTAAGGAGGGTGTGTCCAGTTGCATCACTACCGCTGTAGCTATTTACCAGCTCTGTTTTCTCCTCCAGACATTTTAGCTATTGTACAATTCTTCTGGGCATGTTCTGTCTTAGTTCCCTAATATCTGGCCCTCCTTCTCTTCTCAATAATGGTGGCCCCTGAAGACCTCACTTTGCCAACCAGTGGCTAATGAAAGGTCTTGGATATGATTGGCAAAGACAGAAAGTAGTCAAACATGAGCCTAGTGCTTCTGGTCTGAGCGGTTAGGAGAATCAGGACACCAGGGATTGGACATAGGAGGACATAAAATAGGAGCTGGTCTTGAGGGGGGAACATTTAGAGCTTGGTTTAAACATGTTATCGTTTGAGGTAATGGTGGAACAGCCTTCTAGATTTGGTTTTCTATCCCCCCAAAAGTAAAATGAAGGAATAAGTTGAACCAAATATCTGGGGTACCAGCCATATATCAAAATTTATAGTTAGAGTCAAAGTCTTCATGTTCCTTTTTTTTTTTTTTTTGAGACAGAGTCTCACTCTGTTGCCTAGGCTGGAGTGCAGTAATGTGATCATCGCTCCCTGCAACCTCAAACTCCTGGGCTCAGTGATCCTCCTGCCTCCTGCCTCCTGAGTAGCTGGGGCTAGAGGCATGCGCCACCACACCTGGCTAATTTTTTCTATTTTTTGTCTCTCCATGTTTTGTCTCACCATGTTGCCCATGCCAGTCTCAAACTCTCCACCCTAAGCAGTCCTCCACTCTGGCCTCCCGAAGTGCTGGGAACACAGATGTGAGCCACTGCACCAACCCCCTTTATGTTCCTTTTAAATGCTTCTTAGAGGTGCCATTTAAACAACCTCTTCATTATGAAAATGGAGACTTCCCGTGTCTTTTTGATATTGTTAAGGGAAAATTGTCATAAATATTACACACAATTTGAGATAGTAGTGCATCTTATGAATCACAGGGTGGCATATAAAAAGATTCCTCACTACCCCAAATGTTATACAATGTTATTCTTGAATTGTTTCCTTCCTTGACTTTGGTGTTTATATGGTATCTTAGATATTTTATGTTATCTTATGCCATTTTATTTGGTTAAAAAAACTACTTGCTACTTATATGTTAACAGATTTTTAAATCCCGCTGTGAACCCTTCTCCACTCTTGTACCTCCATCCGCTTTCTTTGTTCAGTCTTTGTTACCCGAGTATAACTCAGAAAGTTAGGTATAGGCCATATGATGTTTCTGTAGAAACAAGAGAAAGAAGAACTTACACTTCTCATTGCTTAATTGAGAAAAAGCACATGATATCTTATATATTTTAAATTGGGGGGATAAAAGAGTCACATTTATGCATTATCATGTGAACATCTCAATCCTATCAAATGGCTTAGTTAAAATGAAAAAGTAAATGAATTTAAGCAGGCAAGTATGAACAATGCTCTGCAAAGAGGTGCTGTTACACTATCCCAGCCTGTACCTACATGAAAAAAGCTACAGTGTATTTTGCCTTGAATAAGGGTCAAGCTGACTGGCTATGGTAGAACCTGCTGGATCATCCACCTGGTGTTCTGTCACCTGCCAGGACTCAGAAGGACTTGCGAGTGTGTGGTGGAGTTCACTAAGCATTCCTCCTTCTCATAAAGTAAGGCAGTTTTACAGGTTGCAGGTTTAGGTCTCTTGATTCACAATCTAGTGTTTTCTTGAATGGACTGTGTTGTCTTACTGTAAGTTTTTGGACTTAAAAGAAGTCAGGTGTTTTCATGGACTTCTCTCTTTTCCATACAGATGTCCAGAGGGCTTCTTGGGAGAGTACTGTCAACATCGAGACCCCTGTAAGAAGAACCGCTGCCAGAATGGTGGGACCTGTGTGGCCCAGGCCATGTTGGGAAAAGCCACATGCCGATGTGCCCCAGGGTTTACAGGAGAGGACTGCCAGTATTCAACCTCTCACCCCTGCTTTGTGTCTCACCCCTGCCTGAATGGAGGCACCTGCCATATGCTCAGCCGGGATACCTATGAGTGTACCTGCCAAGTTGGTTTTACAGGTAACAAATGGGACTCAAGCCTATACTTTCCTACTTTCAGCAGGTACCTTTATTTAGCATCTTTTAGATCTTGGTGTCTGGTTCTTAAGCGTTCCCCAACTCTGGTGCACATTTAACATTATGATAGAAGCTAGAATGTTCCAGACAACTATCCTTAACTTTGTCTTGAGAATTTAAAGGGGCAAAGAAGGAGAAAGAGAAAAAGTCAGATATTTAGAAGTATTTGACTGCTTAAAGTATATATGTCAGAATTGGGGATGAGAATTGCTTTGCTAAAAGAAATACACTATCACCAGAAGAAAAGCTACTGATGCTGCTAATTACCCACTTCTTGAAATTTCCTCTCCCTAGACATTTAGGGCACTGGATTTTCTGGTTTTCTGAACTCTGATTGTTCCTTTTCTTCTCCATTGCCTTGTCCTGACCCATTAAATTTTTGTGTTCCCTGGAGCACTGTTTTGAGCCCTCTTTTGAGCCATACCCCAGCTCTCCATAGGGAATCTCACTGTCTTCGGTTGCCTCCTCTTCTACCATCTTCCTCAGTTGGTGATGACTTACGTAGTCATCCCTTTAGCTCCAGCCCCACCCTGACATTCAGGCTTATGTTTCTAACTGCCTGTTGCACACTGTTATTAGAAATTTTACAGGTGCCTGCAACTCAACATGTTGATAGAAGTAAGTATCACCAATGTACACTGCACATACCCAAACTAGAAACCCCCCTCCCTTGTCCTTACCTCCCTTAAACTCAGTTACCCAGCCTAACCTCTGAATTACCTCTCACCTGTCTTCTCTCCATTTCCTCTGCTACTCTGTAGTTGAGGGCCATGTTAATTCTCACCTGGACTCCTGAAGTAGTTTCCAAATGGGTTTTCTTGCGTTTATTCTCTCCCCATCTCATTCAGCCATCATATTGCAACACCTTTAATTACAAATGCATATCTTCTAACAAACTCACCTGCTTACAATGTCTAATGATTTTTTATCAGCTACAGAATAAACTGCAAATTCACACAAGGGTAGGGACACATGTGGCCTTCTGGATCCTTGAGTGTGGCCTTTTGACTGAATCCAAACTTCACAGAACAAATCCCTTTACCTTATGTGCGGTAGAGGGGCCGCACTTGGCAATCTGGAGGGCCACATTTGGCCTTGAGGCTGCAGGTTCCTCACTCCTGGATCCTTACACCTTTTGTAGCCTGACTTCCCTTCAAGCATCTATGTCCAGTCACACCAAATTCCCATCATTTCCTGAAAAATGTCATACTTGTTATTGCCTCCATGTACTTGCACACCCTTTTGCCTGGAATACCCTTTTCTACAATTGGTGATTGCCCAGTGTCATTTAAAACTGTGTCTTAGGCCAGGTGTGGTGGCTCGCGCCTGTAATCCTAGCACTTTAGGAGGCCAAGGCGGAAGGATCTCTTGAGGTCAGGAGATGGAGACCAGCCTGAGCAAGAGTGGGACGCCGTCTCTACTAAAAATAGAAAAAATTAGCCAGGCAACTAAAAATAGAAATAAAAAATTAGCCGGACGTGGTGGCGAGTACCTGTAGTCCTAGCTACTTGGGAGGCTGAGGCAGGAGGATCACTTGAGCCGAGGAGTTTGAGGTTGCTATGAGCTAGGCTGATGCCACAGCACTCTAGCCCAAGCAACAGAGTGAGACTCTGTCAGAAAAAATAAATCAAAAATAAATAAATAAATAAATAAATAAAATTGTGCGGGTCTTAGTGACTCTTTTATGATTGCTTTAGGCAGTTTGTCTCTAAGTTTCTATTATTTTTATATGTCACATTTTATTACAATTTTTTTTTACATTATTGTTCTTTAGAGATGAGCCTAGGTTTTATTCAGAGTAAACCATAAGTGTTCACTAAATTAGATGAGAAAAGGAAAAACATTCTCTATTTTTTCCCCTGCTTTAAGCACTAAATCAATGGTTCTATAAATCTACTAAGCAAAAAATGAAAAATCTACTCAGAAAACTAGACTGGATCAGTTAGTTTAGAATACTTGTTCTACAAATGTTTCCTCGAAAGATGTTGGTGGGGGTAGAGTGTGGTTAGGATGATCCATTATCTCCATCATGACTATGCTAGTATTGATGATGTAAGTCATTGAAGAGATTTGGTGGTTACAAGAGTAATTTCTTCCTGATTGTCAAGTTTTGAGTTGTTTTGCTACCATAAGGCAAAAGAAAGGGCATACACATTTAAAACATTTTAATCCTGACTAGTGGAAATGGCAATAATGCCTTCTTCATAATTAAAATGTTGCTCTGAAATGGTCCCCAAATGAAAACTTCTTCCTTTGCCATTAAAAGGATCTCTTCTTGGTGTTCTCCAGGGTTCTGACTATCTTTCTACATCTGCTACTTTTGTCTGTCACTTTAGGAATCACCACAGATCAAATTCATCTTTTTGATTTTTGTGATAGTCCTATACCTCACCTACTCAGACCTTGTTACCTCATCTCCACTCATAGATGCAGAAGCAGAGGCAGCAAGTTAGTGCCTATGTATAATATAAAGGGGAAACCAAGTTCAGGGACCTTGCTGTTTCAGTTGTGGGCAGACACTCTGATATCCATGTTGCCAGAAGTAAGCATTTGTCTCTCTTCTCTGCAGTAAGTAAACACCTCTTAGTGGAAAAAATAGAAAGAAAAATAGCAGTTCCTTCATTTTCTCTCTGCTTGGCACCCTAAGATATATGTGCTGTGCCCACATTGCATTGCACCTTTCTCCTTTGATTGACATTTCCTGATAGGCAAAGAACATTGATATGTGCTCACGTGCCACCCTTGTCCCCTGCTAGAAAAGCTGTCATGTCCCTCAGTTGCTTTTCTGGTGGGGGGGGGGGGGTCAGACATTTGGATCTTTTCCTAGACCACCAATTGGGATATTAATAAATTCAGGCAGTTTTCATCTCTTTAGCTTAAAAAATAAAAGACTTAGGCTAATGAAAACAAAAAGCCACGTGAATACCAAATTTACTAGTTCCATGAGCATATTTTTTCCTCTCTCTTTCTGCCTCAAAGAATCTGCTTTGCTTCCCTTGGAGTCATGCCTTAGGAATCAGCATGTCAGAGTCTTCCTGCTACTGCTGGTACTTTCCTACCTGACAGAGTCCACAGAATTACCTTTCTAGACTTCTATTCTCATGAAAGCTTCTATTTCTTTTGATACATAGGGAGCCTTCATCATCTTCAGACACATCAAGCAATATTTATAATAAGACAACAATTAATAAAATGTTTCCCAGAATGTGTTTGCATTGTGTTTAAAGGAAATAGAGTAGTATTGGTCTGTTTCTATCACCAGTGGGTCTCTTTAGTAACTAAATAGCAATACATATTAGTCATTCAATAGACATGATATTAAAGCATACTATAGGGACCTAACCCCTGCCAGGATTGCAGGTGCTATAATAGAAGGAAATAGCAAACTTGGTGTGTGTGTGTGTGTGCATGTAGGGGGTGGCATAAAGAATGACTTTATAGAGGTCATGACTTTTGAGCAGAGTTGTCAAGATAAGTGGGAGTTTGCTAGGTCAACAAAAAGGAAGATAGCATTTCAAACAGAGGAGCAGCATGTGCAAAGATTATGAAGATGTTGAGAGAGTAGATGGATCCAGACCTTCGTTTGCCACAGGGTCTGATAGAATCTTGCAGGACTGGGGTTCATGTGACTAACCTACAGTTCACTCTGTGTGCTCCATCCACTGAGTCTTCGTGTCTCGAATGAGGGTCTTGGAGAGTGCCCTGTGTGAGATGATCTTGAAGAGACTCTGGTTTGGCCTTCTGTAAAGTTCAGAGTTTAGCAATTCTCCATGGAAGAGCTCCCTAATGTCATGTATTTCATGGGGAAATGGGGGTGTTGAGGATGGGGCTAGCTCCTATTTCTGTGACCAGTACTGAGTTCTGTTATCCTTCCTTTAGGTAAGCTGTGCCAATGGACTGATGCCTGCCTGTCTCATCCCTGTGCAAATGGAAGTACCTGTACCACTGTGGCCAACCAGTTCTCCTGTAGATGCCTTGCAGGCTTCACAGGGCAGAAGTGTGAGACTGATGTCAATGAATGTGACATTCCAGGACACTGCCAGCATGGTGGCACCTGCCTCAACCTGCCTGGTTCCTACCAGTGCCAGTGCCCCCAGGGCTTCACAGGTCAGCATTGTGACAGCGTCTATGTACCCTGTGCACCCTCCCCCTGTGTCAACGGAGGCACCTGCCGGCAGACTGGTGATTTCACTTTTGAGTGCAACTGCCTTCCAGGTAAGGAGCTCCCTAGTGTCCTGGGGTTGGGGGACAAGCCTCTAGCACAGGAAGAAGGTAGAAAGTGTGGCCTAATTGCTCATTTATGAAACTTCCTAAAGCAGAGAAAAAGGGAAGTGAGAATTTTGTGTGGGATGTGTTGCTGGTGAGGGAGGAGCTTTATGGGCCCACTGTGGTCCATAAACTGAGTAGGGGATAATTTAACATGTCAGGGTTTATGATGATGAGTGGCTAGAAAATTGTTCATTATCCCTTTTGGAGACACAGTGAGAAATAAGAGGAACAGAGCTCTGAGAAAGGGGCAGGCAAATCTGAAATGGAAAAGAACACAGTGAGAATTAGACATTGGAAAATATGTATGTGTGGTTAATAAAGTGCTTTTAACTGAATTGACACTAAAAATAGGTAATCAACTTTCCTATATGCTTTTGCCTCTCATGGAGTAATTCATTGTTTTCTTATCCACCTAAGTGTGCCCACCTGCGCTTTCATGATTTTCCCTGGGCTACAGAGGCTTCAGATCCCTCACCCCATGTACCCTCTCTGACTTTGGGGTAACCCTGCCCTAACTTGAAGCTCTGGAATTTTGAAACTGAGGAGGAGGTCCTCTGTAGATCAATGAGCAGTTTTTGATGAGATGATGTATGAGAAACTATGTGTGACACACTACTTTGTCACACTCTTCACTGCTATAAGTCCCCCAGAGCACACGTACAACCCCAAGATAGAAGCAAAAAGACGACCAGTGTCTGGGAACCTGAGACCTGGTGTTCCACAGAGAGGGAGAAAGAAGCAAGCCTGGCCAATTCACTTACCTCCTTATAAAAATGATGAGGAGGCTGAAAACCAAGAATTTTGATTGGGAACAGAACATAAGCAGCTGGAACAGATGAATTACTAAGCAACAAAGATCCTGTTTTTATACAAATATCCTTGGTACAAAAACAAAAGAAAGAAAACTGTAGGGGGGAATAATGTGCTAAGTTAGCAGAATTGCCTCAAAAAGAAGTTCTAGCTACTCTTTCAGAGTAGGGATCTTAGATTCTGGTGTTGTCGATATGGTTCACATATAATGGCATTGTGCGTTTTAATCTTTTGGGATCAAAGGTCATATGTTGGTCCTCAGTATAAAACCACCAAATTCATTCAGTAAAAATTTATTGACTGCTATGTTCTAGACACAGTGCTGTGTGCTTAGGATGCAGCAGTATAAGACACTGCCACATAATCAAAATGAAAACTCGATATGGTTTAATAAGTTACAAGAACAAGCTATTTAATTGTATTTTAGTTTCTCTTTTAATAAAGAATAGAAAATGCTCTCATTCTCGATATTAAATAAATGTTTATTAACTTGATATTACTATAATCCACATGATTTTGTAGAAGAAAGAACTAAAATGTAGATTTCTTTATCCCTGTATTTGTTTGCATTTTAAGGATTAAAGACAGAAAATAGAAATGTAAACAATTTAATATTGCAAATATTCTAGCAGTCTAATATTCTGGTAGTCTAATAGGCTAGTATTTAAGGTTAGAGTGATTTATTGTTGAAAGCTAAATACTTTTTCAGTTTTAAGAAAATTACTTTTAATAGTTGCCTAGAGTAAGAGGTTGATTTGGCAGCAAGATATTGACGGGAAGTTAGAGAAGTCAATAAAGGAAGTTTTTAGATGGGAGAGAGTGATTATTCACTCCCATAGTCTCTGCATTGTTATCCATTAGCCACGATAAGAACCTTAGGGAATTCTGAGAGTGTGTCCAGGAAAGGATCTGTCAAACTAGAATAGTATCTCCTCCTTGAGAAAGGAAATAACCAGGGATTCCGCAGTCGAGAGGCTGCCAGGGCTAGTGGGATGGAGTAAGGAGATCTTGGCTGTCTCTTAGGCTCTGCTTGTAGTTTAAAGCAAGACAAATTTGTTTATTCACTGATGGCGTGTATGTGTGTTTGTATGTATTGTATATGTGGATCAGGGTGAGGGGTGCGAGTGGGGAGAAGATTTGACAAAGAGAAAACTAATATTTTTTTATGAGTCCAGGTACTATGCCAGGTACTTTCCCACCCATTAGCTCAATAACACAAAATCCCTGGGGACAGGTATTATTTTTCGAGTTTTCCCATGTGAAGTAACTGAAGTTTGGGGATGTTAAATGATTTACCCAATGTTGCACAGCTGATACGTGGTTAGGCTGGATCCTGAAACCCAGGCAGGTTATAAAGCCTGTGCTTTGTGCATCTTATTGTACCATACCACACTGCTCATCTGCTTCCTGAAGGTGTGAAGACATATGAAACTTTTTGTGAAATGCTTTGAGCTGTTTGGGTTAAAAAATATGTTCAATTTTAAGAAAAATGAGATGCTCCTAATTATAATAGTATTTGTTACATATCTATCTATATATCATTGTGCAGATACTTAAAAATAGTTAAGTAGACTAGTTCTTGCCTTGCAGGGTCCCATGATCTAAAACAGATGACTTCAGCTTTGGACAAATGTATGGAAGGAAATTCAAAAAGAATGCAAAACAATAAATGATGCAGTGACACTATGAATAAATATGTATTTAAACAATTTATAAGATTTTATGCTCATTGTTTTTATGTCCCAGGTGGATTTTGGAGAGTGTTCACTTTATTTCCATGTAGGGAAATAGTGCCTGGAGATGATTTTCTTTAAAAAGCCCTTTTCATAATGGTATGCCATCTCCTAGCCCCTCTTTCCATTGCTCCTCACACTTGTCAAGTGACTAAACTGTTACTTCAAGTGATAGTCACCACGTCAATGTAAATAGCACCCTTATTTGAAAAGAATTATTATTTTGGTTCTAAAATGGGGAAACCAAGTCAGCAGGAAGCAAAGTAGCATGTTAAAGTATTCTACAACTCCCAAATGGCTGCTTCCCACCGCATTTCATGTCTTTGCACTTCTAATTGAGGCCTACCCTGACCACCCTATTTAAAATTGTAACTGTTCCCCCAGCCCCTTTAATTACTGACCGTGGTCTACTTTTTGTTTTCTTTTTCTGTGACTCCTATCTTCTTACTATATAATTTGTACTATGTAATTTACTTCATTATATCTATTGTTTATTGTCTGTCTTTTCCAAATTCTACTGCCTCTTCTTCCCCTCTCCAGAATGAAAGATGGGATCTTTGTTTTTGTTTACCGATGTATTCCAAACACCTAAGAACAGTGCCCAGTAGAGAATAGGCCCACAAATATTTATTGCCTGACTGGCTGTATGAGTTTAGTATTGTGTCAGAGTATTGAGGATGTAACTTTGGTCTTCTCATTTCTTCCTGGTGTCCTGCACCCTAGACTTAGTTTGGCTTCTCCTTTTGTCCTTGTGCACTAATACTGGATAAGAAATTTTGGAATCGTTTTCAACTCTGAGTCTGAATGCCATAGTGATTATATTTAAATGGTTAAGTTATAATTCTTTTCCTGCAAAGGGTACTATAGTCACTGTGAGTGCATTTTAGTATTATTTTAGGACTCATGGGGAGGGAATTAAAACTGCAAAAATGACTCATCTTATGTGACATAGAAAGAAATTTTTCTCCACAGCAGGAGGAAAAAAATAGTCTTTGAGAGAAAACTAATAGAGTCAAATCAAGGAACTGCATTTCATTTTCTCTTTGGAGCTGTAACTGTTAATATTCCAGACACTTCATGAGCTTTCATTGTGTAAAGTCTTTAGCAGAAGCTAAGGAGGGGCACTCAGCCACAGTAATTTCAACTTAAAAACAAACTAGAGCATGAAAATAAATTACTGAATCACTGACTCCCAGTATTTTTGGGTTAGGGCCAACCAATGGAGAGAGAATGAGTTAGAATGGTTTTGTGTTTGTGGATATTTTAATAAAAGTAGCACCAGTAATCAGAAAACAGTGGGCTGTTTTGAATCTACTAGCCATCCCTTATGAGTTCACAGTTGGATTGGACAGTCCTCAATGTACTTTCCCTTTTTCTTTCTCTCCCACATCTCTTTATTCGTCTATTATTTGTTTTTTAACTTTATGAAAAGCTGTCTGATATGTCCTCTCCAAAACATGAAGGTTTGCCCTTTGTAAACCACCTCTACACTAAATAGGCTGATTATATGTAATATCCCTATAGCATTAAAATAAAGCTTAAACACACTTTGTGGCTTTTGTGTCTGCTCAGTTGTTGCTGAGCTTAAGAACTATTAGAAATAATTCCCTCTTGCATTTTCACACTCAGGGGCATGTGATGTTCTCTTGGGTATTATGCTAATCATATTTTGGCAGGTTTCTCTGGAGCAGATGCAGAAATGATCATACCACTTTCCAGGATGTGTTATTTTAGCTCCTTTGACTTTGGTCCCAAGTCCAGTTTTACCTGATGTTCCTGGAAGTGCTTACTGTTCTCTCATGGTTGGTGTTTTTGCCTGTGCGGCCTCCTCAACTTTTTGTACCTTCTTCCCCTGTTTTATATAGAACTCATCCTTTATGGTTTGTCAAAGGCACCCTATTTCACTGAAATGCCTTCTATGTTCCCTACCTCCATGTGGATTAGAGACCTTCTAAGGTCTTTTAGCATCTGCATACCTCTAGCACAACACTTATCCAATTGTTTATCTGTTCATCTTTTCAAGTAGACATTCTCATTTCAACTTTTCCCTCTAGTACCCAACATAGTGCCTAGCACAAAATTGAGCCTTAATGAATATTTGACGAATGAATTGAACATGATAAACAGAAGAAAATTCCTATATTCTACAACTTTTTAAATGTACTTAAATTATTTTTTGACTCCCCATCATCATTTCTTCAGCTTTTTTTGGTGATAAAATTAGAAGAAAAGTGGAGATCACTGGGGAGATATCAGGGGAGACAGGTGGGAGCAGCGAGCCCGAGTGGGTGAGGGCCAGGGACACAGGGGCAGCCATGGGGGCAGTGAGCTAGTCTGGGCCCATAAGGGGTAGAAGGTGGTACCAAGAAAACTAGCTGGGCAAGCACAGGACAGGGATTCTTGTATTCTCACACTCAGGGGCACGTGACATTTTCTTGAGGATTATACTAATTGTGTTTTGGAAGATTTGCTTTTATGACAGACTTCTTTCCAGGAAAAAAAGTAGCTTTGTATCTTTTCACCTTTGTCCAGTTCCCTGTTTTTTCCTCGCTGTTTCATCCCTGTTCATGGAAGCTTTTCCTGAGGACTTTCAGCCTGGCCTGAGAGAAGCCTGGTTGTGTCATCTTGTCTTCCTCTTTCTGCTCTCTTCTTGCTCCTCTCCACTGAGCCTGCCCATCAGGGTCTGAAATGGAAAGACAGAGCACTCTCTAGAGAGATGCTGTTCTCTGTGTGGGATGACAGTGACTCTTTTCTGCTTCCCACCCTCATTGCCATTATTAATCAGATAAGTGGCCTATGGTTTTATAACAGCACAATCTTAAAATGTTTCTTCTAAGTTTAATTTCTCTCCTATTGGCCTTTTAAGGACGTGAATTGGCTTTAGGCAGCAGACTCCTTTTAGTATGGCATGTGAGCCTCTCCGTGAACCTGCTACACCCATCCCACCCAAGTGTCTGCAGACTCGTGTGTTTCCCTTTCCCCTAAAAACTTAACATATATTTTTAAGGAGTGACTGCACTGTAACTTATTCAGATAGCCCTTTCCCCCTGTTTGGGTAGACTGTTTGTTATAAAAATTTGGTAGTTCTTTCCAAAAAAAGTTCTGTATCTCTATTTTTAAAGCATAAATCCTGTCTTAACTTTGGAGAACTGATTTGGCTTGAGTTTTCTCAGACTTGGGAACTTTTGACCTAAGGTCGGTTTTTCACATTGTTGAAAGGAAACTCTGGGTTCCACAAAACATACTGACTGACACTGGGTAAAGTTTCTGATTCAGCACTGATTCTTAAGCTGCTAGCCATGTAATCTTGGGTCAGTCAGCCATGTGGCCCTCAACTTCCTCATCTGTAACATTAGAGAGTTCGAGTAGACAATCTCTAAGGGATGCTCTAATCCCATTGATACGTAACAATATTAGCTAATATGTGTAAGGCACTATTTTAAGTGCTTTCCCTCTCTTATAATAGCTTTATTGAGATTTAATTTATACACTGTGCAATTTGATATTTTAGGGTATACAAATCAATGGGTTTTAGTATGTTCATAGATACGTATAACCATCACCAAAATCAATTTTAGAACATTTTTTTACTCCAGAAGAAACCCTGTACCCATTATCAGTTATTCCCCATTCCTTCTAACTCCCTCCCAGCCCCAGGCAACTACTAATCTACTTTCTGTCTCTATTTGCCTATTCTGGACATTTCATATAAGTGGAAACATACAATATGCAGTCATTGTGACTGGCTTCTTTCACTTAGCATAATGTTTTCGAAGTCCATGCATCTTGTAGCACATATCAATACTTCATTCCTTTTCATGGCTGAATGATATTCCATTGTATGGATTTATCACATTTTATTTATCCATCAGTTGATTGACATTTGGGCTACTTCCACTTTGGGGGTATTATGAATAATGCTGCTATGAACATTCTTATAAAAGTTTTATATGGACATATGTCTTCATTTTTCTTGGGTATATATGTAGGAGCAGAATTGCTGGGTCATATGGTAATGCTGTTTAACCTTTTCAGGAACCATTAGACTATATTCCAAACTGGGTACACTATTTTACATTCCAGCCAGCAGTGTGTGAGCGTTCGAATTTCTCTATATCCTTGCTGACACTTGTTATTATCTGTCTTTTTTTATCATAGCCATCCTAATGGATGTGTAATGATACCTGCTTGTGGTTTTGATTTACATTTCCCTGGTGGGTGATGATGTTGAGTATCTTTTCACACGCTTGTTGGTCATTTATGTATCTTCTTTGCAGAGTATCTATTCAGATCCTTTACCCATTTTATAATTGAGTTATTTGTTTTTTTGTCGTTGAGCTGTAACAGTTCTTTTATGTATCCTAGATACAAGTCTTTTATTAGATAATATTATTTGCAAATATTTTCTCTCATTCTGTGGGCTGTCTTTTCACTTTCCTGGTATATCCTTTAAAGCCCAGATTTTCTAATTTGATGAAGTCCAATTTATCTATTTTTTCTTTTGTTGCTTGTGCGTTTGGTTGTATTTAAGAAAGTTTTCCTTAGTCCAAATTACAAAGATTTGCTATATTTTTTTCCCCTAAGAGTTTTATAATTTTAGCTCTGACCTTTAGTTCTCTGATCCATTTTGAGTTAATTTTTGTGTGTGAGGTAGGGGTCCATCCCAACTTCATTCTTTTACATATGGTCATTTAGTTATCCCAGGACAATATATTGAATTAAGTGCTATTTATATCTAACTCATTTAATCTCTACAATAACCCTTTGAGGTAGGTCCTGTTTATCCTCCAATAAATTTTAAGTTATATTGTCCACTTTCACTCAGCTATTTCATGGCAAGGCTAAAAGTTGAGCTTAGGCAGTTTGGCCTCAGAGGCCATGCTTTTAACCAGAATTAACTCTTTTACTTAGCTGCCTTCTTACCTATCTACCTAGGTAAGACAGGGAAGAACTACCTAAAAAATAGTCAATTTGTCATAAAAAGAAAATACTTTATTTCTTATCTGTTTTGATTATGCTTCTGCTTTCTTAATTTGTCTGTGATTGGTGAATTCAGTTAGTTGTAACATTGGCTAATACCGAGTCAGGGCCACAGTTTCTATTCCTTATAGCTTAGTTACAAGGGCTTTACTACTTGCCTGATGCCCTAGTCAACCCTGTTTAGTCTTAGTCACCAGAGAGATCAAGTTAAGGAAAGGATGATCATCACCACTTCTAGAACATCACCAGACCACACAAGTTCTAGCAGTAGTGGGCCAGAGCCCATTTCCTCCAATAATCTAAAATCGTATCTTTAGTTTTTCTAAAGAATGTCTTCATTAAGAGCACTAGAGTAGGAACACAGACCTCAGTCCTCATTCAGGGACTACTGCTTGATAGATCTGTAGATTCAGCTTCACTTTCTTAATCATAATTAGGGATGGGCTTAAACAGTTCATCATTTTTTGGCTCATTAGTCCATTTGTATGATTTTTCATATAATTAAACAGAAACATGAAATATGATAAATTTTTTAAAAATCCAAATGTATTTTCATAGTCTTTCTCAGGCTTACTTAGTGATTTATGCACTTGAATGAACTGAGTACCAAATACCTGGAAAAATATAATTTCCTTCAGTTAAGCTTTCAATTATTTCTATCTTCCGTGAATTGATTTCCTGGTGATTTTTTTGGCTACTTGGTTTATGCTCATTTACTTGACTGCCACTGTATTCAGAGAAACCAGCATGTTCCAATGTAGCAGAGCAGACACAGAATTCCAGGGTAACTGGTAAGGAATGAATAAAGCAAGGTGTGTCTGATGTCTATCTCACTGACTAGATGGTAAATGCCATCGATGCAGGGACTCTGTCTCTTGTAATCACTGTTACATCACCAGTGCCTAGTGTAAAACCCAATAAATGTTTTGAGTGAGCGAGAGGAACCTTAAGGGATATTTTGAGGAGGCCAAATACTTAATTGTACTATATTTCAAATAGGAGAATGTTTACTGAACATTGTCTTATCTTAAAGCTGGTAGTCTTCTAATTTATTTGCTCAGGGCTTTGGTAGCCAGGAAAAAGAAAGGAAGTAGCCCAATATATAAATTACAGAGGACCACACTGAGCAGTAGGGTGAAGTTTGAGGTACTGGGTTCATTTTTCATAAAAGAAAAAAAAAATCAAGAGGAGGGAAGCAATGCTGTAAATTTAGAGAAGAGCATGAAGAATTTGAAGTGCTGGTGAGTTTAATTAGTGATAATGCTACCCCATTTTCAGCTAGCATTTAACATTTGTATAGCACTTTACTCATGATGCGGCATTTACAGCAATCTAGAAAGGCAGGCCGGGCAAGTAGAATTAGCCTTGTTTTATGGATGAGGAAGCTGATTCAGAATTTTAACTTATCGTGTATTAAATAGCTTATAGGTGGAGAGGTTAGGACTTGACTTATACCTTCATATTTTAAGTTCAGTATTTTTCCTGTGTCCCTCCCAACACCATTGCCCACCTAGTTTGGAGGCCTCCTTGAGCAATCATCCCAAGAAAAAAATAAAAGGAACTTAAATTTAATTAGGCAGTCTTTTTTCTGTTCTTCCCATTAGACTAGTATGAAGCTGGGAAAAATCTAATATCCTGTTTTTTAGAACCAGTGAATGTCCATCCCAATTAGACATTTATCTTTCCTGTGATTTTATTTCATGAAAACACTTTGAAATACTTGTGAGGTAACTATGAAGGTTTGTCATTGGCATGAGTCACTTTGGCTGTCTACCTATGCTTGAGGCCAGAGAAGACAGAGGATTGGGGGATTTTTCATGAGGTGAGTCCTGGGTTGAGCGGCTGCTGACTGTTGACCTGAAATCATGAAGCAGGTCTGTTCTGACGACTGTGTCCTGTGGGAGAAGGGCAGATCACTTCTTCTGTACGAGAATTCATCTTTTGTTCTTCTCTTACCAGGTTTTGAAGGGAGCACCTGTGAGCGGAATATTGATGACTGCCCTAACCACAAGTGTCAGAATGGAGGGGTTTGTGTGGATGGGGTCAATACTTACAACTGCCGCTGCCCGCCTCAGTGGACAGGTACGTGCAGTTTCATGCATCCACCAGAGTGGGATGTGGATTGGTAACCAGAGGCAGACAGTTAATGAAGTCAGCACCTTTTACAAATTATCTTAGGGCTGGTCTGGACCTAGTGTGTGAACTGAGCGGAGTCTCCATGCTAGATCAGTCGATATAATGCTACTCCTGTATGTTCTCCTATGCTCAGTCAAAGATGTATTTTCATAGGTATTATTGGGCAGCTGCTCTGAACTCAGCACCTTGCTAGTTCTGTGGCAGACGTGAGAGAGGAGTGTTACTAATAGACCCTAAGCTGCTTATCTGGAAAAAGCAGCATATTGCCTGTAACATAATAGATGCTTAATAAATATTTGAGAGGAAAAAAATATACTGAAATGCCAAAATAAATTACACAGACCACAAGAGTTCAGAACTTATTGTTTGTTCATGGACAGAAATCTATCCCACCATATTGTCGTGTACCATAACTAGGCACAGGGTTGGGCAGGTACTCTTGATGATGTTATTTTTATGATACCCATCCTACATTTCTGTTTTTTCTTTCTTTTATCCCTTTTTGCACACAGGACAAAATTATATTTTTCTGCCTCTGACATTAGAAGAGTAGACTTGCTTAACTTACAACCTCTTAGAAGTTTCTGACAGTGTCTTAGGAAGGTTTTTCACTTATTTTTGAAAGTTGACTGATTTTATATAGACATTTGTTTCTAATTTCTCTTTGTATCTGTTCATCTGTCTACTAAAAGTGGAGACAATTAAGAACTGATTAAAGGACTAAGAACTGAGCCTTTTTGAGAGAAATTGATTGATTTAATGTGGAAACCCAAGAAGTAAGTTAATATTTTAAGAAGAAACTACAGTCCAGTGATGGACTATCTCCTGCAAAGAAGTCTTGATGTTGGATTGCAGCCATTACTACCTGATATTCTTCAGCATCTCTGAATTGCTTTTCCTTATCTGTAGCATCTAATTACTTAGAGTACTCTTGAGAGCTATAGACTATGAATAGAAAAAGACAAAAAGGATTTAAAACTTCAATAACATGATTTCCTGGAAGGGCACACATTTCTGCTTTTAATCCTCAAACTGCTCTTTTTTATACTTTCCCATTGGGTTTCACTAGAATTGGACTTCCCCTAGAATTTCTTCATGGTGTCTTGATCCTAGGACTTTACTCCTAACGCTCTGCTCTTTCTGTCATATTCTTTCTTTCTCTAGCTTTGCCATTTCTTTTTTTTTTGAGACAGAGTCTCACTCTCTTGCCTGGGCTAGAATGCCGTGGCCTCAGCCTAGCTCACAGCAACCTCTAACTCCTGGGCTCAAGCGATCCTCCTGCCTCAGCCTCCCAGGTAGCTGGGACTACAGGCATGCGCCACCATGCCCGGCTAATTTTTTCTGTTTTTAGTTGTTTGGCCAATTTCTTTCTATTTTTAGTAGAGATGGGGTCTCGCTCTTGCTCAGGCT